GTGATTCACTTCTTGGGCTGCGGTCCACATGAGTCTCGATGCTATGACCCACCGGACCTGAACGCGCTAGGACGGTGTGTAGGGCCAATAAGCCGAGGAAGGCTGTAGTCCACCGATCCGAGTAATCGGGGCGGTGTGTAGGGCTACGGCTGGCTGTGACCCGCCGAGCGGTGGGACGACGGTGTGTAGGGCCATAGTCTCCGAGGATCTTCGCCCACCGATTGAGTATAGCTCCGCGGTGTGTCGGGCTTGATCCGCTATGGTCCACCGGCGTACCCATCGGCGGTGTGTAGGGTCGTAAGTCCCCCCTTGAAAAGGGGATCGCGGTCCACCGACTGAGTGCGTCAGCGATGTGTAGGATCGTGGTCAGACGTTGAGTTCGTCAACGGTTCTCAAAGGGTTGGTTGCGATCAACTCCCCTCGTACCGCGATACTGAGGTAGGGTGCTGCGGGGCCATGTTAATGCTATATGCATTGACCCTCATGTTCGGGGCATGCAATTGGTCCCGTGGAGCCATCAATGATGATGTGATATGAATGGTGATTCAATGATGATGTGATATGAATGGTGATTCAATGATGATGTGATATAAATGGTGATTGATGTGTTTGGAATTGGAAAGTGATCAGTGACCTGAGATGTGCATTCCTTGTGATGTTATCTCTACTTAAATGCTTATTGTTATTTGATGTGTGCATCCCTATTTGCTGAGTCTATTCCCGGTTTTACAACTAGTGTCTCTTAAGTATATATCTTCCTGCTTCGAAATGATTTTTGTATATCTCTATATATCTATCTATAATGTATTTCAACGCGTTGGAGTGGGTTACCAGCATCTCTCGCTGAACAGATATATTTGGCTTTCAGGCACAGATGAGTAGGCACTGGAGCGCGCTAGAGACTTGGAGCGTAGAATAGATAGTTTCCCTTTCAGCCTGCGTGCCATGCTTATGTATTGACATTATTGAGGATTTTAGTTAGTTAGTCTGTTCACCTGAGTTCTCTAGCTCAGGTGTGGCATAGCACCCTGTACTCTTATGTTATGTTTTGGGATTTAATGAGAATTTACTCTTATTATATAAGTCTTAAAAGTTTTAAAATTTCGGGGTGTTACATATACCTTTTTGTAGAATTGGAGTTGGAGATAGTGAATTGGACGCATCGATAATCATCCACATATGTAGATACACATTGTATCGAACTGGATAACCAATATTTGTGTTGTTTACTTTCTGCCTTTCTTTTTCGCATTATGTTCCTATCTGTTAATCTATCTTATAGATTCACCGGTTAGGTTCTTTGTTATATCAACTATGAACTGTTTTAGGTTAAAAAGTAGATCGGTCATTTTCGATTACCAAAACACGTAAAATCATACCATCAATGATCATAAATGCGGAAAGAAAGAGATTCAAAGCTTGTAAAAAGATACAAGAGGGAGGGGCTTGTTAACAAGAACAAGAGGAAGACACTGAGATTAGATATATTTGCAAACAATTTATTCTTAATTTCAGCATATTTATTATATTTACATATGGACCCGATCAATCTCACCAAAAAAATCTATAAGATTGTGATGAAAAAGAAAACAGAACATAGAAATGTGTGTTGGTCCCGCCACTTGCCCAAAATTCAGTAAAATGTCAACAGTTGTTTTCATCTTTGTATAAATTTGCTAAATTAATTGTGGCATAAATTTTTAAAAATATCTCCTTGAAAACTGGAGAGCATTTATTTGCAAGAACATTCTAATCAAGGTCTAGTAAAGCATGTGATTGTGTAGCCATCTGTAATTGCATTTACTTAAGTGCATTTACTTCCAGATCGATACATGAAACAAAATTAAGCACTTTTTGGTGTTAATAAACATGTAATTGCATAAGTAATGACGACAGATCTTATCAATCACGAAATAACCCTTTCAATTCCCACCACACACTAGCCCATCAATGCAAATACCAAATTATAGGTCACTTAAGTCAATACACTAGTCATTTCCCAATAGGCCACTGCACAATGCACTAGCCATAAGACGTGTGGAAAACCAATTGTTATAACAAGGACCAAAATTCATATTGCATTTTGAATCATGGTCTAAAAATTATGTGTTTGTAGTTTCCATATTTTGTACATGCAGTTAAAAATATTCGTATATGTAAATAAATTTGTTGGAACAAGCCTACAATCATGACAAATTTATTAGTCAAAAAATCAACTCTTTATCATTTGCTTGTTTTCTGAGTGAATTTCATTTTTGGTCTTACTGTTATAGAAGCATTTCTAATTTTAGTCCACCTTAATTAATTTTGGCACAGTTACCACTGTTATTAAAAGTGGACCACTTTTAATAACAATGGAACACTTTTAATAACAGTGTTTGCTGTGGCAAAATTAATTAAGGTGGACTTAGAATTTTCGTCAGTTGGTCGTTTAATGCAAGGGTACTTTCGTCTGTCTATGTTTGTCTTCTCCTATACCCTTCCTATGTAGAATCGGCGATCCTCAACGGCGTCGACGTGCTCTCCATGTCTCTTGGCGGCGGCTCTGGACCAGGGTAGAGAAGAGTTTAGTAGTGAAGGAAGCCATCGAGGTAGGGATGATAATCGCCAACACGGTTTGGTCGATTTGATGCCCAAATCAAATTAAATTAAGCCAAAATGGCATAATCATCATAATCTCAGAATGGGGAAACACTACAATATATTTATAAATTGTAATCAGTCAAAACCCTACCTTTCAAAACCCTACCCTTCAATATATGTTCATCTTTTAATTCCATCAAAATATTCTTAATCCAAAAGTTTAGTGAAATTTTGAAAAAGTCAAAATATTAACTAAAAGTGAAATGTTTTTTAAATTTGAAATTTTAAATTGCAATGAATCAAAATTGAAAATTAAAATAAAAGATTAATGCTGGTCTACTCCTTTAGATTTTTTTTCCTCATAATCTCCACATGACACTTTTTCATTGGATGGTTTAATTTTTTGATAACAAGTTTTGGATTTACTTGGAAAAAAGGAAAATAGGTGATAATCTATTTAGTAAAGGCGAAAGATTGTCTCACGGATCATCGTCTTTGAGACGGGTAAATTTTTATTTTTATTTTAAATAAGTGTTACACTTTTTTTCAAAAGTAACTATTCAACTTATAATATTATATTTTACATTTTTACATTAAGGTTGAGCTTTTAATAAAAAAACCACAGTTTTACTCATAAGTATTACACTTTCTCTAATGAGTAATAATCAATCAATTTATCCAGTTTAGTATTACATTTTTTTTATTTATAAATACATGTTCAATCTTTAAATATTACATTTTAATTTAAAATATTATAATTTTTTCTTATTAATAACAAACAATTTATTATTAATTAGTATTATATTTTTTAGTATAAATATTATATTTTCATCTTGACCAACTAATCCTACAAATAAAAATCAATGTAATTGTCATGAAGAAGAAAACAAAGTGTTGAAATGTCTTGGTCCCGCGCAGGCCACTTGCCCAAAAGTCTTAACAATTGTTTTCTTCTTGAAAAAATTGTAATTTATACCCCTCATAAATATGTCAATTATCAATGTCACCTCTAAATTATTAGTGGTGTAAATATTATCCCTCAATTTTTAAAACGTGACATATATTGCCCTCACCTAATGGTAGAAAGAGAAACACTATTGTTGGCGGAAGGAGAACAAACAAAGAAAGAAAAATGAAGGAAATAAACATAATTTTCGAACAAAAAAAACGGCGGGTAACCACATTACACCACTAATAATTTATACATTTTAAAAATTGAGGGACAACATTTACACTACAAATAATTCAGAGGTGACATTAATAATTGACATATTTGTAAGGGTCATAAATTACAATTTTTCCCTTTCTTATGTTTATATCATGACTATATCTATCCTTCTATATATGTATAAAATAAATATGATTGAATGTAAGAACAACGGCGCTGCAGCAGAAGATTGTATCTTCCCCAGAATTGAAGCATGTCGGCCTCCATGTTCATAATCCTCATACCAATTATTATACTCTCTTTCAATGCAATATTTGTTGAAGCACAGAGTGGGCATCTTCCTCCAGATGAAAGTGAGCCCCCTTAATTAGCTCTCTGATCTGTTGTTTTCTTGGTGGTTATGAAGGAATTTTCTCTGTAGTCATTACATGCAAATTACATATTTATTAACACCAAGTATTTGGAAGTGAACGCACTTAAGGAAATAGCTGAAGAAATGGGGAAGAAGGATTGGGATTTTACACTAAATCCTTGTGACAACAACTCTAACTGGATGACACCACATATGACTCTGTACTACACTAATACTCTCACTTGCAATTGTAGCTTCCCTGCTGGTATTTGCCATGTACAAAGCATGTAAGCTTTTTCTTCTATCCTACTCTCTATGCCCCATCCAGTTCTTCGAATTGAGTGATTGACTTCAATATGTTATATATTAGTAAAGTCTTACATTAATTGTATATATTATGTTATGATTGACAAACTCAAGTCCCACATCGACAAAATATAGAAAGAGAGATTGAATTGTAAGTGGGTACAGTATTATATTGCATAAGTGCTCAAAGATAAATTTAGGGAACATGATCCTCAAGACAACATAATATTCTCTATTTTTTTTTTTTTTTTTGTGTAAACAGAGTTTTAAATGGACAGGATCTACAAGGTGTTCTCCCTCCTTCCTTGGTGAAGTTACCCTTTCTCAAGACAATGTAACAAGACGATTTTCTATGTTTATGCCATAATCTGCTCTGGTATATATATATATATATATATATATTCTTTGCTTGATTAATAGTAGTATATACTGCAGTGATCTGTACGGGAACTACTTAAGTGGTTCAATTCCCCTTGAATGGGCTTCTACCAAGTTGGAAAATATGTAAGTTGTGTTGTGTATTATAACCTATGCTATACAGGTTTAAGCCAACTGCTCTTCCATGCATGCTAAAGTTGTGAAATTTTGCAGCTATGTTGATGCGAATCGATTGTCTGGGCCGATTCCAAAATACTTGGGAAATATAACAACTCTTGTACTATTGTATGTTCCCTTGCTCCTTTCACTCTACTTGCACAAGTAAAACTGTTGTTAACTTTATATGAGGAACTTATTGTTTGGGTTTTGTTGTAACAACAAATGAAATTACAGAAGCTTGGAGAACAATATGTTCAATGGAACTGTTCCACCAGAGCTTGGGAATCTAGCCAACTTAAAGTATCTGTAAGCTTTTGTTAATCATTCTCATCACTGGCTGAATATAATATTGGTTAAATTTTAAATTTTTGTTATCGCTTATTTGATGCTCTCTCTGTTTTTGCTGTCTGTAGCTATCTTAGTGGTAATACTCTCACAGGTGAACTGCCAAAAGAACTTAATGCTCTCACAAATTTGACTGCGCTGTAAGTGCATCATGCATGTATATTCACCTCTTTAATTTGTTGTTCTTCTATACTTTATGTTGACTTGTCATCTGTCCTGGCCGGGGAAATCAATACAGTAGCCTCAGCAATAATAACTTCGCTGGGAAATTGCCTAGCTTTCAACATTTGAAAAGCCTTCTTTCGCTGTAAGCATTCCTATCTAAAACTTCATAACTGAAATTTATGGATGAAATCATTTTTTTAATGAGAAGCATATATGATTGGCAGAGATCTTGAAGCAAGCGGTTTTGAAGGACCCATACCTGAAAATAACTTTGTACCGACAGGCTTGGTTGTACTGTGAGTTAAGATTTCCATTTTCTACGGTCAAGATTAACGAACTAAAATATAATTATCAACAACACAAACTTGCAGTAGAATCAGTGACCTAAATGGAGGTGTCTCGAGTTTTCCAACATTAAATGAGATGACAAACATGACAGTGTTGTGAGTAATGCATTTTCTTTTCAAAAATATGAACTTAAGTTTCATAATTCCACTATGAAGTGAAGTTATTTATGCAAAAAATAATTTTTGGTGCAGGATGTTGAGTAGGTGTAACATTTCTGGGAATTTACCTGATTTACATCATATGACAAAATTGGGACTGATGTCAGTAACTACATTTCTGAACTACTTTTGTGAGGAAATTGATTCTTTTTTTCCATATCTTAGGGATTGAATATAGTAAAAGTTTGGTTATTGTACTGAAAAATCATGTCAATAAATAAATTATCCAGTAATTATTTGAGAATTTTTTTCGTTTGTGTAATTCTGTTATTTTTTATTAGAGGATTATAATTCCATGTTCTGCTTCCTCAACTTATTAATATCATATATTAGAATTCTTAAGTTGATATACTTCTCTGCTTACCTGTTTTGTTATGATATTGAGTTTGCAGAGATTTGAGCTTTAATAATCTCGAAGGAGGGATTAGTGGTCTTCAGGGTCTCCAAGGTCTTCAAGGGCTTCAAGGGCTTAAAGAGCTTGAGCTTGAGCTTGATGAGAAAATGCAGTACTTGTGAGTAATAAATCAATTTTAATGTTAATGATTTTGCATAAGTAACTTCCTTTATATTTGGGCATTTTGTTCTAATAGAAATCTAATCAGCATTCTAGTTAATTTTCTCATTGTTGTGATTCAGTTGAGGATAACTTCTCTCTGTTTTTCTTGTGTGTGAATTCAGTATTACTAAATTGAATTTTGTTCTATTTGTTCTTAGGTTTCTAACGAACAATTCCCTTAGTGGGAAAATTCCTGAATGGGTTCTAAATCTAAAATTCAGGTAGTAAGTTTAGTCTTGTGATGAGTTTTATCAGATTTATAATTTAATTTTTAGTATTATACGAGCTCTTTTCAACTACTCGTAATAAAAAAAAAAAAAAAAAAAAACACTAATAGAATTTAAACGACCATGCAATATGCAGTTACATAGATCTTTCTTACAATAATTTTGAGGAGAGTTCCATGTCGCCAATTTGCAATCGGAAAAACCTGTAAGATTCTGTCTCTTATAAACATCTACTGTTTCAAGTCTTCCTTCAACTATGGATCATTTTAGCTTTGTCATTTTCCTAGCAGAAACTTGTTCAAAAGCAATAACGGGGGCGGAGATAATGTGTAAGTTAATTTTAACATATATCCTCTAACAAACCATGAATATTATGTTGACACTCATAACGCAATTTAGTATCGAAAGGTTTCTGACTTGATCCCCTTTTGCATAGAGGAATTGGGAAGTGTCTAAAGAATTGCTCTAAAGGTAATCACATCACAATACTTTCAGTATGCATCTTTTGAACATTTTTCACAATGTATCAATGCTGCTGATAAGCAATGATTAGCCTTTGCAATTGATAAGCAGAGGCTTTTCTCTGTATATCATAGTATGGTTGATGTCTAGCTTGTTTTTTCCTTATTCTGCAGACTGGTATTCATTTCACATCAATTGTGGTGGAGGAGATGTTTCGATTGGTAACACTACATATGAGGCAGATAAAGATTCTGTTGGCCCTGCCAAATATGTTTCCAACAGAGAGAACTGGGTAGCTAGTAATACAGGGTACTTTTCGTCTTGGGGTATGGATTCAACAGCGAATGACTATACCGCAACAAATATATCTGTCATCAATGTAAAAGACTCTGAAATCTACAAGACTGCTCGTTTGTCACCATTATCTCTAACATATTACGGGCGTTGTTTGGCAAATGGAAACTATACTGTGAAACTTCACTTTGCAGAGATAGTTATTAGAGATAATAGATCGTTTCAAAGTTTAGGAAGACGCATATTTGACGTTTATATACAGGTTAACTCAAATTTTCAATTTAAATTGAGGACTTCAATGATTAAATGATGTGTTTGATTATAGTGATTTTATTTACTACAGGGTGAAATGAAATTAAAGGATTTTGAAATCAAAACTGAAGCAAAAGGTGTTGATAAAGCCTTGGTTAAAGAATTTCAAACAATTGTCATAGATAAAACTCTAGAGGTGCGCTTTGTATATGCTGGGAAAGGATCACCAGTAACAACTCCAAGTAGAGGAACATATGGACCTTTAATATCTGCCATTTCTGTGGAATTTGGTAAAATTAGATATAGCTTCCATATTTTTAATTAATAGCACATATTTATATATTTAGATTTTTATTAATATTTTTGTTACTTTGTAGCCAATTCTGTAGATTTCAAGCCTCTCAAACAGCGAATTCGAAAGACTTCAATCATAGTTGGTTCAGTAACTTTTTCTTTGTTTCTTACTTCCACAATTCTCTGTTTTGCTTGGTGGAAGATCTACATAAGAAACAAGACCTCACTGGGAAGAGGTAATATATGCATTTAATTTCACTTACTTTTCTAATTTTGTATGAGAAATTTGAGAAATTTGGACGTTGTGACAATTTGTGCATGTAGTCATATGTGCCATGCATATTCAATCCCAAAACTCAGTCTTTCTTGCACTTGAAATTTCTTTAATGTAATTGTTATTATGCAGAACTACGAGGTCTTGATTTACGAACAGGTCTATTTACCTTCACACAAATTAAAGCCGCTACAAACAACTTTAATGCTGCAAATAAGATTGGGGAAGGTGGCTTTGGGGCTGTCTACAAGGTATATATTACTTCGTGCCTTGACACCTTTGCTTTTGGACTTATTATAGATGCTTATGTTTGTGATCTTGGATTAAATTTTTCCCATGTGTATAGGGTACATTGTTGGATGGTACAATTATTGCTGTGAAACAACTCTCATCCAAATCAAGTCAAGGAAATCGTGAATTTTTGAATGAAATAGGCATGATTTCTTGTTTGCAACATCCTAATCTTGTGAAACTCTATGGGTGTTGTGTTGAGGGAAAGCAATTGTTGCTGGTGTATGAGTACTTGGAAAACAACAGCCTTGCTCATGCTCTTTTCGGTAAATATGAATTCATAATTAATTCGGCTGCTACTACTGCTAGTCACAATTTTAAAAAAAAAAACATAAATTTTCTTAATCTACTATATGTAAGATATGCAACTAGAATAGAGAGGGTTTAGTTTATTTAATTTTATCAAGAGAAATATAAGTGTTTTGAGTTAACAATTAATTATAGGTTCAGAAGAGTGTCAACCGAAAATAGATTGGCCTTCTAGACAAAGAATTTGTCTTGGTATTGCAAAAGGTTTAGTTTTTCTGCATGAAGAATCAGCAATAAAAATTGTTCATAGAGACATAAAAGCCACCAATGTGCTTCTTGACAAAGAACTCAATCCGAAGATTTCTGACTTTGGCCTAGCTAAACTCAATGATGATGCGAATACACATATTAGCACAAGAGTTGCCGGGACAATGTAAGTATTATCTTGTATAATTTTTTGTTCATTTTGCATTTCCAAATTCTTCATATAGTTGAAAGTTATTGTAGGCTGCATAAAGACTAACTTTATTTTTAAAAAGTTCATTGCTGTTGTGAAGCATTGCAAATTTTACATTTCAATTGACAGAATTGATTACTTCATTCTGAAAATTTTTGAATCTTCTGACTTCTTTATACACTTCTCTACATTGAATCTTTCAAGAAAATGAACTATTACTCTTTACTTATCTATAGAGGATACATGGCTCCTGAATATGCAATGTGGGGCTACTTAACATACAAAGCAGATGTCTATAGTTTCGGTGTAGTGGCACTAGAAATTGTTGCAGGGAAGAGCAACATGAAGTATCGTCCTGATGAGAACTTTATTTGCATCCTTGATTGGGTAAGATATCAGTACTACAAAACTCAATTCATTGATTGTAGACCTTACAAACTAAGTGGCCTATTCTTATATTCTACGTAATATGTTTTGTTGTATTTATTGCAAAATTTTCAGGCCCTTGATCTTCAAAAAAAGGGGAACCTAATGGAGCTAATAGATCCAAGATTGGGTTCTGATTTTGATAAAGAAGAGGCACTCAGAATGATCAAAGTGGCTTTGGTTTGTACTAATCCTTCACCCGCCCTAAGGCCATCAATGTCTGCAGTAGTGAGCATGCTTGAAAGCCATGATGATATTCTTGAGTACAAATCCGATCTACATGAATTTAACTTTGAAGCAATGAGAGATCATTATGATGAAATGCTAGTCAATGCAAGTGTTTCTCCCGACAACTCAGAGTGCACACATCTAAATGAGGAACTACAGTAGTCCGTGGTGTTAGAAAATATTGGTTAATGGTGTAAGAAAACACAAGAAAAAAATCAAGAATCAATAATTTTAAGCGTGTATCAAATACAGTTTTGATAAAAATCGCTTTGTATGAGCAATTTGGATCTTAGTAAAACTTTAGAGATACAAGAAGTTTATAAATTAATATAACACCTCTGGTCATGTCCACATATATTGTACAGTATATTTGTTGATGGATTTAATTCTCCGGGGGTAGCCCGAATTATTAAACCCGGATAAGTATACGTACGAAATAAATAATAGGACGCAGAGATATAATAAGGTCGTGGGGACCGTAGGTCGCAGGGACCGTATATTGTATTAATTATCGCTAATAAGCTATTACAAGCTTGATTAGGACAATAAGGCTAGAAGATAGCAATTCAGGAATCTGTTGTGTGGTGTGTCGTGTCGTGTTTAGGACAAGAGGGAGGCTTTTTATATCAGCTCAAACCCCCCAACCGCACCCCTAGGATCGGGGTTAGTTGGATCGGCCCGCTTTGACCGCGTCCCCTCCGGGACCGGGTCCAAGGCGGGCCGACTCGGCATGGCCGAGCTGGGCACGTGTCGAGCTCGGCCTAGCCGAGTCCACCATGGACCGGCTCGGTAGTGGCCGAGTCCATGGTGATGGGCTCGGGTGTACCGAGCCCATCCGTGGCCGACTCGGCCCAAGGCATCTCGGGTCCGTCTCTCCGGGTCGGTTCGATCCAGGTCCAATATATCCATCACGAGTCCCCCACTCTCTTCGTTGTGATAAGTCGACAACGATAGAGAGTAGACACCTTGCGAGCCGACTCCTGCGCGATTGCCCCGAGTTGATAATTAGTCGACCTCCTGTGACCGAGCTCACCACGACCGAGGCACCTTGGGCCGAGCACGGGGCCCTACCACTATGCCCCGGGTCTATTCCATACTTCTTTGTTCCGCTTTCCCAAGTCGGTTTGCTCCAATCGTAATATATCCATCATGAGCGAGACTTCTTCTCTTCCGCATTCCTCTTTGTCCGACTTCGGTGTGATTCCATCGCCATCGGGACTTCTTCTCTTCCGCAAGAACACTAACAAGTCTTGGACTCCCTGGCATCGTGTATGAGACTTTGATTTCTGAGTTCACTTTTGGGCGAGCTCATGAGGTAGTCGTCTTCCTCTTGGGTGAGCTCATGAGGTAGCCCCTCTTGGGCCGAGGTGCCTTGTGTCGAGGCGTCTTGGGTCGAGGTTCGTTAATGAAGGAGAGTAAACACGAGTCACACTCCATGGATCCGAGCCCCACACGGCCGACCACAACGTGACCGACCTCAACGTGGCCGACCCCAACGTGGCCGACCCCAACGTGACCGACCCCAACGTGGCCGACCCCAATGTGGCCGACCCCAACGTGGCCGATCCCAACGTGGCCGATCCCAACGTGACCGACCCCAACGTATCCGACCCCAACGTGACCGACCCCAACGTGGCCGACCCAACGTGGCCGACCCCAACGTGGCCGACCCCAACATGACCGACCCCCACGTGGCCGACCCCAACCTCAAGGATTAGACTTGATAGCGGCTTGATTAGCGTCATCCTTTCTTTATCATATGGGTTCCGTCTTCCGCTCCACCACTTTGTACTTTTCCTAACATGCCTCTCCCCCCGGAGGTAGGCACATTTGTGTCTCTCCTCCGGGAGGTGGGCACATTTTATGGCTCCCCTCCGGAAGGTGGGCATATCTTATGGCCCCCTCCGGGAGGTGTGTCCTTTTGTACCTTGCTTCGATAAGCATGCTTCTCCTCCCGGAGGTGGGCACATTTTATGTCTCCCATCCGGGAGGTACTTCCTTTTGTCTTTGCTTTGTAAAACATGTTCCCCCTCCCGGAGGTGGGCACCTTTTATGTCTCCCCTCCGGGAGATACTTCCTTTTGTCTTTGCTTCGTTAAACATGCTTCCCCTCTGGGAGGTGGGCACATTTTATGTTTCCTCTCTGGGAGGTGGGCACATTCTATTGACTTGGAGTTTTGAATGGACAATCAGCTCTCCCTTATTGATTCATTTTTTTTAGCACAATGCCTTATGTTAACCGTTTGAGCCTAGTCCCCTTGGGCTAAGCCGCCGGGCACCTGCGTCGGGGTTGGTACGCGAGGTCGGACCTCGTGCCCCCTTAGGGTACGTTAGCCGCTTGAGCCTAGTCCTACCGGATTAAGCCACCGGGTTCTTCCGCCGGGGTTGGTACGCGAGGTCGGACCCCGTGCCCCCTTAGGGTACGCTAGCCGCTTGAGCCTAGTTCTATCGGACTAAGCTATCGGGCTCTTCCGTCGGGGTTGGTACGCGAGGTCGGACCTCGTACCCCCTTAGGGTACGTTAGCCGCTTGAGCCTAGTTCTATCAGACTAAGCCACCGGGCTCTTCCGTCGGGGTTGGTACGCGAGGTCGGACCTCGTGCCCCCTTAGGGTGCGCTACCCGCATGAGCTAAGTCCTGCCGGACTAAGTCATCGGACTCTCCCGTCGGGGTTGGTACGCGAGGTCAGACCTCGTGCCCCCTTAGGGTGCACAAGCCGCTTGGGCCGAGTCTTGCCGGACTAAGCCACCGAGCTCTTCCGTCGGGGTTGGTACGCGAGGTCGGACCTCGTGCCCCCTTAGGATACGTTAGCCGCTTGAGCCTAGTTCTATCAGACTAAGCCACCGGGCTCTTCCGTCGGGGTTGGTACGCGAGGTCGGGCCTCGTGCCCCCTTAGGGTACGCTACCCGCATGAGCCAAGTCCTGTCGGACTAAGCCATCGGGCTCTCCCGTCGGGGTGGGTACGCGAGGTCGGACTTCGTGCCCCCTTAGGGTACGCTTGGGGAGGTCGGGTGAGTACTCGATTCTTACAACACCGTTGGAGGGACTTGAAACGTCGTGGGAGGGGACGCTCCACCTCTTAAAACGTTGTAGGATGAGACGTCCCACCTCTTGGAAGATCATTGGAGAGGATGGATCACCTCTTGCCACATCTTTGGAGGGGTCGACCCAAAGCAACTCGGCCATGGGCCGAGCTCGGTACACCCGAGCTCGTCACCATGGACCCGGCTACTGCCGAGCCGCGCCGGTCCATGGTGGACTCGGCATGGCCGAGCCTGGCACGGACCTCGTGCCCCCTTAGGGTACGCTTGGGGAGGTCGGGTGAGTACTCGATCCTTACAACATCGTTGGAGGGACTTGAAACGTCGTTGGAGGGGACGCTCCACCTCTTAAAACGTTGTAGGATGAGACGTCCCACCTCTTGGAAGATCATTGGATCAGAGAGGATGGATCACCTCTTGCCACATCTTTGGAAGGGATGCTCCACCTCTTAAAACATCGTTGGAGGAGACGATCCCCCTCTTGAAACATCATTGGAGAGGACGGACGACCTCTTGAAACATCATCGGAGAGGACAGATAACCTCTTGAAACATCATTGGAGATGACGGATCACCTCTTGCAACATCTTTGGAGGGAATGCTCCACCTCTTAAAACATCGTTTGAGGAGACGTTCCCCCTCTTGAAACATCATTGGGGAGGACGGACGACCTCTTGAAACATCATCAGAGAGGATGGATGACCTCTTGAAACATCATTGGAGATGACGGATCACCTCTTGCAACATCTTTGGAGGGAATGCTCCACCTCTTAAAACATCGTTGGAGGGGATGGACCCCCCGGTGGACCTCCTCTATGACTGACACCTATTGTAGCAAGGTGTCATTGGAGGACTTCTTGTAGTGTATATCACGGGGGACTGTGTAGGTTCTCCCCACCGGCTTGGCTTCGACCTTGTCAAGGGGCAAGCAACCCATAACATGTTCTTTTGTTAGGTAGTGAGTGGGGTGTCCCCCATGTACTACTGTTAGGTAAATGACGAGGTCGGGGGCGGCACGCACGACCGCAACCATGGGTTAATAAGAACATATGTCAATATTTGAGCTCCTGGGGTTCGGGGGAGCCGGGTGCTCGACCTATCACGCCCCCTTGGGAGGGGCTGGGTAAAAGTAGGCACCCCTCGAGAGACGTCGGGGCCAGGCAAGAGGTCTCGGACACCTCTTTGGAGCCCCTCAACGGGGTGGGTCGACAAGGTGGTAGCTTGTTGGGGAGCGACCATCCCCTCTGGGAGCTCGTTCATTCACTTACGGAGCTGCTCGACCTCGTCACGATTGGTGCTTGGAGGTCGACCATTTGTTTCCCGACCTCTCATCTCGAGAGGCCTACTCGCGTCGCGGCGGAGCTCGGGGCCCGCGGCTTGGCGACCTTCGGGGACATGACTCCCCCGCTTGTAGTGCATTAGGGGTTGGCCTTGGGTCCAACCTATCTCGGGCCGACATGCGCATGCCCAGCCTCTTAAAGGTGGGCCTAACATGGGTCGACCCCCCTCTATCACCCTCTCGATGGTGATCTTGGCGGATGTCACCCCCTCCCCGCGTGTCCGATGGTCGGGGTGAGTTGACATCCTCTTCGATTTGGGTGTTGAGTGCCCGAGGTAGCCGGGTGCTTGGACCGGTGTGCCCCCTTGAGGGAGGTGGAGGCAGGGTCGGCGTCCTTTGTGTGGCCTCCAGACCGTCGTGCGCACCTCCTCGGGGACCCTCTGTGAGGTGAACCAAAGTCGTGGAGGATTGACAAAGGGTAACTGCCCCCTCCTGTAGCGGAGCGAGATTTGGAGGAGGGGCGATGGGAGTTGGCACCCCACCGCTGTGATGGTTGGTGAGGTGATCTCTCAAGTCCCCGACCTAGTGGAGGCGGCCGGTGGGAGGCTGGGGTCCCCGTTGGGGCCGTTCCCGTTTGCGACGAGCTGGGTGCCGCGGGAACCGTTGGTGTGGTGAGAGTTGGATCTCGATCTCGTCATGGTAGCAGGTCGTGGTAGACCACTAAATATAGAATACGCTTGAGCTGGTACAACAGCTCTCAACAAGAGCACCAATGATGGATTTAATTCCCCGGGGGTAGCCCGAATTATTAAACTCGGATAAGTATACGTACGAAATAAATAATAGGACGCAGAGATATAATAAGGTCGCGGGGACCGTAGGTCGCAGGGACCGTATATTGTATTAATTATCGCTAATAAGCTATTACAAGGCTTGATTAGGACAATAAGGCTAGAAGATAGCAATTCAGGAATCTGTTGTGTGGTGTGTCGTGTCGTGTTTAGGACAAGAGGGAGGCTTTTTATATCAGCTCAAACCC